CAGAACCATCTCGTGTTCCATTTGATCTTACAAGGAACATCGACTGGCAGAAATATGCAACGGCGGTGACAATCGGTGTCGAATCGATAGATAAACTTCCACCATTGGAAGAATATCGGTTCCTTACCGATTTGATATACAAAAGCTCTCTGGAAGCACAAAAAAGAAAAGTTCCAAGTACATCCTTTAAAAGGAGACCAGCCACACCTGGATGGGACGAAAAATGCACAAAATTGTATTTAGAAAAATCTGATGCTTTCAAAGCTTTTCGTAGACACAAAACCTCCACATACTTCGAGGAATATTCAAAGCTTGAGACAAAGCTGAAACAACTAATCAAATCAAAAAAACGCGGTTATTGGCGCAATTTCGTCGAGGGACTCTCACGAGAAACCTCAAACCTTGTGGAGGGTGGCTCGCAACATGCGTAACCGCTCATCTTTCAATGAGAGTGAAGAATACTCAAACCGGTGGATATTCGATTTCGCTAAAAAGGTCTGTCCAGCACAACACATTCTTCGAGAAGCGTCTCCGAGCGGCAGCTCTCTGGATAGACCATTCACAATGCTGGAATTCTCCATGGCTCTTCTTTCATCGAACAACTCCTCACCGGGAAGCGATATGATTAAATTCAATCTTCTGAAAAATCTCCCAGATATCGCTAAAAGACGCTTGCTAGACTTATTCAATTCCTTACTAGAAAACAACATTGTACCGCCTGAATGGAGACAGGTCAAAGTAATAGCCATTAAAAAACCTGGCAAACCAGCGTCTGACCATAACTCATACCGTCCGATTGCTATGCTTTCGTGCATTAGGAAATTGTTGGAGAAAATGATCCTTCGGAGACTCGATCACTGGGTCGAATCAAATAAATTACTATCAAATACACAGTTTGGTTTCCGCAAGAGCAAAGGAACAAACGATTGTCTAGCGCTGCTTTCCACGGATATTCAACTGGCCTTTGCGCACAAGGAGCAATTGGCTTCAGTATTCTTGGACATTAAGGGGGCTTTTGATTCAGTTTCCATTGAAATTCTGTCAGACAATCTGCACAGATGTGGACTTTCTGGAATTTTAAATAATTTCTTGTTCAATTTGTTGTCAGAAAAGCAAATGAACTTTTCTCTTGGACAACTGACAACTTCCAGAATTAGTTACATGGGCCTGCCCCAAGGCTCATGTCTCAGCCCTCTTCTTTATAACTTTTATGTCAAAGATATCAACAACTGTTTGGCAGAACAATGCACGCTAAGACAACTTGCAGATGACGGTGTGGTTTCCGTAAGAGGTCCACATGCCGTGGACTTGCAAGGACCATTGCAAAATTCCTTAGATAACTTGTCTTCTTGGGCTAGGAATCTAGGGATCGAATTCTCGCCGCAGAAAACTGAACTGGTAGTGTTTACTCGAAAGCGGTACCCAGCCCAAATGCAGCTTAATCTTTTGGGCAGAAACATTACCCAATCATTGTCTTTCAACTACCTTGGGATCTGGTTTGATTCAAAGTGCACTTGGAATACCCATATTACGTATTTGAAGCAAAAATGTCAGCAGAGGATCAACTTTCTCCGTTCAATTTGCGGCACATGGTGGGGTGCTCATCCGGGAGACCTCATAACGCTTTATAAAACAACTATTCTCTCTGTTCTAGAGTACGGCTCTTTCTGCTTTCTCTCGGCAAGAAAAAGTCACCTAATAAAATTGGAACGAATTCAATATCGTTGTCTGCGCATAACATGAGTCTCGAGGTTCTGGCAGGAGTAACACCCCTCCAAAACCGTTTCTGGGAGCTCTCTCTCAGAATACTAATCAACTGCGGAGTGACAAACACACTTATAATTGCAAATTTTGAAGAAATTCTTGGGCTGAACACACAATCTCAATTTATGAGAATCTACCACCATTACATATCGTCGGATATGTGTCTTCCTTGTTATACTCCAGACCGTGTTCACTTCACCAATCGCAGTTCCTCAATTGAATATGATCTCACCATGAAACAAGCAACTCATGGGATTCCCGATCAACTTCGATCTATTATTATCCCACGTATTTTTACTGAAAAGTACCAACAAGTCAATTGCATGAAAAGATATTTTACAGACGGGTCCCGTCTCAATGGATCCACTAGCTTCGGTGTCTTCAATGAAAACTCTAGCGCCTTCCGCAAACTTCAGGAACCTTGTTCCGTTTTTGTTGCTGAGCTGGCAGCAATCAACTTCGCATTGGGGATGATTTCCAATATGCCCACAGACCATTACTTCATCTTCTCGGATAGTCTCAGTTCGATTGAGGCTATTCGGTCGATGAAACAAGGTAGGCACTCATCTTATTTCCTTTCAAAGGTAAGGGAGCAGATGAGTGTACTGGTCGAAAGATCATATATGATTACCTTTGTATGGGTCCCCTCACATTGCTCAATCCCAGGCAATGAGAAGGCGGACTCTCTCGCAAAGGTGGGCGCGCATGAAGGCGAATTATATGACAGGCAAATTTCACACGATGAATTTTACCATTTAGTGCGTCAGAGTATCCTTTCGAGTTGGCAAACCGATTGGGACACTGGAAATCTTGGACGGTGGTTACATTCAATTATTCCTAATGTTTCTTCGAGAGCGTGGTTTAAAGGCTTGGGCTTAAGTCGTGACTTCATTCGGGTGATGAGTAGACTTATGTCCAACCACTACTCGCTAGATGCTCATCTCAATAGAATAAACCTCGTGGACAGCAACATCTGTCGGTGTGGAAACGGTTACGATGACATCGAACACGCAGTTTGGCAATGTACGGATAACGACGCCGCCAGAGAGCGACTTTTGAATACCCTCGAGGCCCAAGGAAGACAACCCTATGTTCCTATCAGAGACGTGTTGGCAACCCGTGATCTCTGCTATATGCAGTCCGTTTATGTGTTTCTTCAAATGTCTAGTATAAGAATTTAATTCCTTTGTCTTTTGTCTCTCTTTATTAGTTTTTATTTGTCTTGTCCCCCCGTCTCGATGATTCTCATCGTCGCCCACTGGTCACCATAGCCGGTCGAACTCCAGACGAAGCTAGAACAGCACTACCATTCATACTGGCGACAACGCTCTGATGAGACAACGAAACCCTACCCCAAGCTCTTCCCCTGATCCTATCCTTCAACAATGTACCCCTCTAACCTCGAGTAAGCCGCGAGTAATCGGCCCAACTCCTACTAGACATAGAATTAAGTGAATTTTGTTACAAACAGTAAACAATGAATTATCGGCTCCGTAAAGCTAACGCGATTGAGCCTTCCAAATAAACGAAATGGATAAAAGTCACTTCCAGCTGATGTGAAAGCATACCATGACTTGTTTTTTTTTTTTAATTCTTTGCACCAACCCCACAGAACAGTGTTGGTTAGAAATGTGTGGTATACAAAATTTGACTTCAGAAATGGTTACTATCCTGACCGATGGCAATGTGGAATCCTTAAAATTGAAACAATGGCGTCATGGATTTAGTGGAGTTGGAAACTCAAGAGTTTATAGACATGTTTTTGGAAAAGTTCCACATAATTTCATAGCTGAACAACAAGGTTAATACTTGAAATATGTCAAAAGTAACTTGAAAGTAACGGAATGTAGGGGATATGTGATTTTTCTGAAAACTTTTCATATGTTGTACAAGACGCTGTGCAAGGTGCACAGTGCACTATACATCCATTTGCTATTTATTATAGAGATGATCATACCAAAGATTTAATGTTTACTAGTTTCACTGCAATCGCGGAGTTTAACAACCATGTTTTAGTTCGATTATTCGTAGTTAATTATTTAAATTTCATCAAGAGTAAGATACCCAGCCTTAAGAAAATTCACTTTTTCTCAGATGGATCAGGCAGTCAGTACAAAAATAAGATGACAGCGGAGTGGAACTTTTTCGCCACATGCCACGGTAAAGGTCCATGTGATGCTTTGGGAGGAGTCTTGAAACAAAATGCTGCTAAAGCAAGTTTGCAGGGTCATCTCATTACATGGGCAATTTCTAAAATCGATTCAAAAATGCACTATGGCTTTTTTCAGACGCAGATCATAAAGCGATGGAAATAAAACTTAAAACCCGTTATAATCGTGTCAAACAAATTTCCGGAACACAGTCATATCATAGTTTTAGGCCAGAAAATGGAAATTATATTATTTTGAAACGATTCTCGTTCTCAGAAGAAGAACATTTTGTGAAACTTTGAAAGTATCTTTAAGCATGTTTTATGTCTACAATGTATACACAGGGTAATCTAGTCGTATTGGAGTAATGAGCGAAATTTCTAAACAAGATAATTCCCAAAAATCGTAACTCAAAAACGAAGAAAAATACATCGTTGATTTTTTGATATGTTGTGTAGAAATCCCTAAATTTAAAAAAAATATAAAAACGTGTTAAGCCCATTGTGTACAACCCATGAAAACCATAAAAATAAATACATTCAAAGTTATTCTATACAAAACTCCAATTTTCGAAATTTTTACATTTCTTCTGAAAAGTATTTTTAATAACCTTTCATTTGATATTTATATCATTCAAATCGGTTCAATGGTTCAAAAGTTATGATTTAAAAAAAATGCCTTTTTTGGAAAAAAATAGAAAAAAATCGATTTTGTTTTTGACCACCCTAACAGGAAAATGGTCACCCTAATAAGAAAATAAAAAAATATGGGTCTAATATTATTTCGATAAGGAACAAAACTGCCAATTTTTATGAAATTCTGAGAACCACTACATCTTTTTGCCACAGACAAACAGACATAACACTCACAATCACATTCATCGCAAATAATCTTTTAGTTAGGAATGTGCTTGCATTTGTCATGGTGGCACCACTGAAGCATTGAGAAAGCCACCACATTTCGAACTTATCAGTGATGCCAGTTATTTTTCACGTCTAGTTAGTAGATGTCAGCTCTTGAAAATGATAAGTGGTCAAGGCATCCTACTGGAGACGCATACATAATCTGACGAATATAGAAAAAAAAGTTGTTGAATATTACATCAAAACTGTTGCACACTGTTCATTCCGTTCCTAATATTACGTTGTACGATGTACACAGAATTCAAGAACAAATCATGTTGATGACTGTAATATTCTATCAATTTTTACCAGTTATAGATGTTCAATACTTTACCATGAATATTATTGATTGATACATATTATTTTTCTCCTTCTGTGCAAATAATGAAGCGATGAGCGGTGGTAGAAAGAGCACTAATAAGTGATGCATTACCTTGTTTAAACACTTGTTTCCAGCAAAAGAAAAAGCACACTAAAACAAATCCCTAAAAAAAGTCTTAGCTTCTAAGAATGTTTCCTACCGATCCGTATTTCTGCAGAATTCAATCAATTCTATAGATCTTCAGAAAATTTCGTAGAACCGACATCACTGACATCCATCTGTTTTGTTTTTATTCAACACAGCTGATGCGTTGACAGAACGTGGGAAAAGCAACTAGTGAAAAAATTGCATGCACGAGGGATGCTCCGGTTGCAAATCATTGGTTGGGAATGTGGATGATAGATGGTGCTAGTGCGCATGCAAAATACGCCTGACGATATTTTTTGAAGAATTTTCTTCTAAGAGGTAAATATGTCTGTTTGTCTGTGGTTTTGCTATGGAATGGCTGTATATATATGTATATGACTAGATGGCGGTAGTGTTTAACATATTTTAAATATGGCGTTTTGGTCAAGAATTTGAATGTAGCTTCTATGAGCTGTCGCTTCGGTGTTGTTGGCATATTTGCCTCATATTCCTGAGATTGTAAATCAGTAAATACTGAAAACGCGCTTATTAGTTCAGTTTGATGTGAAATGCGCAATAACAAAATAATTCTCAATAATTGTATAATATTCACAGTAGTTCGTGGTAATTTCACAAGCACTGATCGGTAATCAATGCTGGTAGGAACCCCTCGCTTTATACCAAGCTATGCTTCAGTCAGGAGATTTGCGATTTAGTGTAACTTTTAATATACTTATTTTAAAATTTGTTGAGTGTACTTTATTCTTATTTTTTTACTTATTTTTCACTATTTTTCAGGCTGTTGGATCAGATCGAAACATGTCGGAAACAGTTCTGGAGCATCGGGCAAATTTTCTCTACATACTAATACAAATGTATCACTGCGACATAGTTTCAATTTACGAGAAGTTTATTTCCACAGAGCATGAAAAACAGTTTGTAGACAAAATGTTCAGCATAATGGAAAGCTACTTACCATTGTTACAATTCAATGGAAACATTTTTCAAAACGTTTCGAGCCTTAAGATCCCGAAGGTAAGTATTGAGTAAAAAGTCTGCAAAACTATACACTCAAAAATTTCCACACGACATCATCATGTGTCTCACACTTAATTTTGCGCTTATTGTGAAACACATCCATTTCATGTGTGAATCTTATGCTATGAATCATGCCTGAACACTATGGATTTGAATTGTGACACACTTGGATTCTATGTGTCTCATTTGGGGATATCGATAGCTTTGCACATAATAGTTCAATATTCTACAATATTCTACTTTATCGACTTCTGATTTACCGACTTCTGATTTACCGACTTCTGAGCAAGCAATTTACATCGCATTGAAATGCAAAACACTTTAAACCCATCTGTTTTGAACAGTAGTGTGATTCAATGTGCAATACACTTGAATAGATAGTGAAAGATTTTCAACATTTCAAAGTTTGAAACACTTTAAATTAACGTGTATAACATATTGAACCAAGGTGAAATACACTTAAAGTAATTGTGATTACTGATTGTACATTTAAAAAATCAAGTGTTTAAACACTTCTATCAAACGTGTGGAATTTTTTGAGTGTAGGGTAGTTATACTTTTCACCTACACATATTGGCGTAACTATGTATGGGGGCGAGGGGACATCCTTAGAATAGTTTAACCACCCCTAGAATATGTGAGGCCCCGTATAGGAACTATGTTTTCACTTTTAATAAAAATCATACCACCAACTAATTTACGAATATATGTATAGGGTGGGTGAGTCAGTAATGGAGGTACTAAGTCAATTTATGTATTATAAAATAAATAAAGATCTGCATATATTTTTTATACGCTATCCTATAGCTTTCAATCTCTATTTTGTCAGAAAAATATTAGATTGTGATACCAGGCGTTCGCATACTTCTTCATTAGTGGGGTGTCAGCCAACCAAAAAGGGGCGTCTCATAACTTAGGGTCGTATTGATTTACGTGAGACAGAGAATGAATTAAGCGTGGTTTTCGAATTAAATGTCCAAAATTGTGCAGAACATATTTGTTCCCATGATTCAAATAATCTGTGCTTTACAAGAATAGTAATCTTCTATACAAGCCATCAGAGGTCATTTGAAGCGTTTATAGGTTTACAGTTAACAGTGTTAAAATTTTAATTGTAGCCTGCAGGTGCTTAAAATGATCGTTAATTAACATAAAACTTTTGAATTACTAAAAATCTTCAAGGTCTTTTAAAGTGTTAAGATATTATTATTAAAACATACATTGAACACACCTTTTTTAAGTGGTTGAACTTGAGAGCTTTGGCTAACAAAAATTATAGAGAAAATTGATAAATATTTTATTTCAAAAATATACTATCCTTTGTTAGATTACTTATTATTTCATAAACTTACAAGAAGTGAAGATAAGGAAGCATTGTAGAAGTAAAGCCGTTGGTCCCCGGTTTATGAGTTGATGAGTCGATAGGTAGGGTCCAGGTGTGGGAGCTGCCCCCCTGGCGTCGGTAGCATTGGTGCTCAGCACGGAAAACAAGATCGACGGAAAACAAATCAAGGAAAAAAGGAAGCATTGTAGATATTCAAGGAAGATTGGATCAATGTTTCCACCCCTCAGAATTAAATTGGCATTAGCATTTAAAGAATCCTCATTATTAAGACACATAGAAACACCTGCAATGTCGAGTTAAATTCTGAATGACCATTGGCTATCTTTAACCAGATCCTACTAAAAAGAAATTATTCTACAATGTTTCATTGTTGAAAATTATGAGATACACTTGAGAAAAATGCATGACTAATGTATCCTATGAAGAGTTCCAAGAAAGTTTCTAAATTGAATATTAATAAATTAATCCTATATTTTTAGGATATTTGGGAGCATACTTTGAGGAGAATTTATAATAAAACAAGAACATTCTGTTGAACATGCCGAAGGAATTTTAAAAAGAACAGTAAAAGTTGAAGTGAATTCTTTTGAAAATGTTTAAGAATGCTGAGGAAATCGTAAAGTGAATGCCAAATTTTTTGACTTGAGAATTTCTGGAGTTTTCTGCAGAAAAAATCATAAATGTTATGGAGAAATGTTGAAGGGAATAGCAAAATAATTTAAAATTTTACTAGCAATATCAATACAGGATGTTTGGTTCCGGGTTTTACATATTTTCAGGGTAGATAGGGCTCCTAAAGTTATGAAAAAATCCCCATGAAACATGGGGTCGGAAATGACTGCTAAGTGAGTTATTCAACATTTTATGTTTTTTTTTTATTTCCAACTTTGGTTAGCTATATTTTTTTAATCTTAATGTGGTTTTCTGATTTCAACATACCAAATGAAAGATTCAAGTCTTAGCTATCAAAGCTCTTTAGTAAAGAACTCGATTAAAGTTAATTATCATACATTAAAATTGAAAAGAATGTTGAAAGTACCAAAAAAACTGGTGAAATTTCATACATTTTAGTGTTTTTAAGTTGAAAATTTTCATTTCTGTTTATTTAGTTGTTCTACAAAACATTCTCCATGCAGTTCCCTAGATTTGTGTCTTTTGTAGTAACCTTGTAGGCTTTATGGTTTCTTCGTAATTATTGATTTAAAACAGCCATAAAAACTTGTGACGTTTTCTTAAAATGCGCTATGGTCACCCTATTAGTTCGTACGTTCGGCTGTTGCAGTGGACTACGCACATGAAAATTTGGTAGAATGTTATTGTAAATGTTGAGCTACATTCTTAACTTTCGATTACCGCTCATCTCCTGCGCCAAAAGAAAACATAACTGCGGAGATGTTTCGCGGTATCGAATATTGCTCAGTCTCAGCAGAAAACACAACGAGAGACACCGAATCGACGAATTCTGAGAACGGAAGGGAGAGAAGTAGGTAGTGGTAATAAGCTTACATAAATCTTTGGTTTTAATTAGTTAGGTAGGTTCCGATTCAACACATTGTAGTTTCATTTATATACCTGTGATCTTGACTTTTATACCTAGGGGATGAGTACTTAAGGGGGTTAGATTTTGATAAGTTCTTTAGTGGGAATGACACTGATGAAGACTGCACATTGTAGTCGAAATACGTATCAGTCATGGATACCAAAATTAATTAAGTGGAATTAAATGGAAGATAACATTTTTTTGCTGTTTTATTTAAGCATTCCGCTAACAACCCAATTTCATTAATTTATTATGATGGCTACCAAGCCTTTGGGATTTTCCTTATTAGAGAGTTGAATACATTTTTCTCCTTTAGCTTACTTAAATCTTTGGTTTTAATTAGTTAGGTAGGTTCCGATTCAACACCTAGGGGATGAGTACTTAAGGGGGTTAGATTTTGATAAGTTCTTTAGTGGGAATGACACTGATGAAGACTGCACATTGTAGTCGAAGTACGTATCTGTCATCTGATACCAAAATTAATTAAGTGGAATTAAATGGAAGATAACATTTTTTGCTGTTTTATTTAAGCATTCCGCTAACAACCCAATTTCATTACTTCATTATGATAGCTACCAAGCCTTTGGGATTTTCCTTATTAGAGAGTTGAATAGATTTTTCTCCTTTAGCTTACTTAAATCTTTGGTTTGTTTGGTTTGGTTTTGCACATTGTAGTTTCATTTATATACCTGTGATCTTGACTTTTATACCTAGGGGATGAGTACTTAGTGGGAATGACACTGATGAAGACTGCACATTGTAGTCGAAATACGTATCTGTCATGGATACCAAAATTAATTAAGTGGAATTAAATGGAAGATAACCTTTTTTTGCTGTTTTATTTAAGCATTCCGCTAACAACCCAATTTCATTACTTCAACATGATAATGTTATATACGCTTTACCCCAGGATTGCAAGCAACATGATTTAGTCATCATTTTCTATATAGTCCAGATATTTTCAAAACTAAACATGTTTAATTTTTGGCCCAATGTTACCCCCACTTACGGTATATGATAAAATCACGTACGTCGGTTTTATGTGTCAAATATAAACTAAAGAACCTCTTCTTGTCACTTACAAATACAAAAAAAAAGAATCTTCATATGTTGATACTCTAAGGAAGCCTTAGTGTGAAATTTTAAGAGCACAAATGTCAGTTTTCACGAAACATACATAAATGAAATTGCTACTCCCTGTTTGTTGTAGCGCAGCAATCAAGGAGTAGCAATTTCATTATTGTGTGATTTGTGGAAGCTGATTTCATAATCGCATAAAACATTTGTTTCATGCGAAATTAATGGAACGCACCTTAATTACACGCAACAGAACAACGGCTCTCTAAACAAATCTTTACACTTTTAACATTGAAATCAATGGTTATGTAAGGAAATTCGTTTAGTTTTCTTGCTATTGATTCGTGGAGCTTTGCTTATTTCTTGGAAAAATATTGCATTTTTTTTTTCAATGTGCTGTTTAACTTTCAGAAATTTTGGGTGCAAAATAAAATTATTTAACTTTTTGACTTTGTGGTTGAAGCAAAATAATTTTTTTTTAACTTTATTTAAAAGATTTTTAGCCTTAGGCTAGTTTATCTCTGAAGCAAAATAAACCGTTTAGAATTGTCTCCGAAAAAAGTGCACACACAATAACAGTTGTAACTTTTCAATCATCGTTTTCAGAGAAAATTATTTTGTATATATTGCAATTTTTTTGACGATCTAGAAGGTTTTATACCAAATTACAATGGACTGAACACACTTCTCTCAGAAAAAAATGTGCACACTATTCCATCTTATTATTATCATACAGAGTCAGAACAGCAAGTAGCATAGTTGTACATACATACATAGTTGTTACACAAACACATTTGCAATCACCATATTTAAAAACGAGACATTTCACCAACATCCCATCAAATATGTTTATAATTGGTTCAAACAAATTGTGATACTAATAGTGATTTTATGCAAAGCAATGTAATACCCTATCCACGTATTCAATGATTGTTTTGGTCAAGCATTGAAAAAAAAAGAAAAGTTAATTTTTGCATGTTCAACATGCAAGTATTAGGAGAATTGCAAAACTTAGATAACTCTCTTTATTATCACAAGACTAAATCTTTCGACTGAAGTGTAATGAAGAATATCCGTCAAACACTTCCGAAAACATTTTTTGATACAAAACAGTGTCAAAATCTAGAGAAAATTCATGAATTCCCCTGGGCATGCTTGGCATACACAGTTTTGCTCACGAACTGCTCATTTGCTAATAACTTTGCACAGAGTTGACGAAACATAGTTCTCTTTGAAGCAGTCGATAGAATAGAGTTTAGGCTTTTTATAGATATGTAAAAAAAGGTGATTTCAATTCTAGTAATAAACTGTATTTGATTTTACGTTGCATAAATCATTGGTGATGATTCAAATGATAAGATTCACCTACTCTTTGCATGTTTATAGTAAACTATGATCCTAATCTATCAATTACTTTAAAATTTCAACAACTGAGTGAAAAGTTATTAACAAATGAGCAGTTGGTGTGTACAACTATGTATGCCAAGCATGCCCCTGGGTAGCAAACTTGAAATAATCAACTCTTTATTCAGCGGTGCCGGTGGTGTAGTGGTAAGCGTGATCACCTCTCACCCCAAAAGGCCTGGGTTCGATCCCAGTCGGCGCCGCCGGGATGTTCTGAGGCATAACATCTCTGATCACGCCTTCCTTCGGAAGGGAAGTAAAGCCGTTGGTCCCCGGTTCATGAGTTGATGGATCGATAGGTAGGATCCAGGCGTGGTAGCTGCCTCCCTGGCGTCTTTAGCGTTGGTGCTCAGCACGGAAAACAAGATCGACGGAAAACAAATCAAGGAAAAAAAACTCTTTATTCATAAGAACAACACTATCAGAGTGAACCATGGGAAGCTCATAAGTTTTGACAGGCGCACCGGTGCAACCATCGGTAATTGAGAGATTTACAACTGACAAGAGAATGAGAGCGGGCTTTTGCGCTCTCTTTCTCCATTACGCCAGCAATTGGCGTTGACGGCACCGTCAAAAAATTGTCTCTTCTAGAATAGATTGACAGTTTCTTATGGGATTTTTTGGTGGAGTGAAAGGATAGTACGAAGTCCGGTATGTTTCACGAACAGTCTGATGTTTGCTTATAGATTTTACCATAGGAGTAAAGAGCTACAGAGTCGCCGTCAACGCCAATCAGATATCCAAGTGCACAGCGAAAAATACACGCTTTAGGCACCCATACATCACAAATGTTCTTCTAATTTAAACTCACACATTCAAACCGGTCGCAAGTATGGTACACGTCCAAAGCGAACCAGACTGCTGTTTCCGTGTTGCTCCCGTTTGACGCGTGACTGCTGAAAGTTTCAATTACAACTACACAGAAAAAAAAAGTTGTTGAATATTACATCCAAACTGCTGCAACCAGGTCAATCCATCGGTTGTGTAATATAACGTTGTACGATGTACATCGATTTTGCGAACAAAATTACATCCATTGAAGTAATATTGTATCTGCTTTTTGCTATAACATCATTATTTCATACATCAGCTTGAATTACATTGATCGATATTACTTTTCTTGTTGCTGTGTAGTGGTGCAAACCGCCATGTATTGTGGAAAATTTGGGGTATGTTTCAAGAGGTGATAGAAGGTCTGCTTGGCTTACATCAGGCATTTGACCATTCTCGCGTCACTTTTCAAATAGACCAATGTAACATATCCAACATTTTGAGAAAATCGAAGTTGAAGTTCGACAGATTATTATTTTAACTGTTTAAAAACAATACATTTTGCAATGCTATTTTTAATGTCGTCAGTGTATAATAACGTTGAAAATTCAGAAGAAACTGTAAAATCACAATTTTACTATGAATTTCATGCTACAACATAGAAAAAACCACATAGGACTTTTTGACAAGTCGAGTTGTACATCGGACATGTTACATTGGACGATTTTTCTCAATGACATAATCAATGAGTGTTACATTGGACGTTTTCTCTACATGATACTAGATTCCCTTTCACAGATTTCAGAGTATAGTACCTAACTTTAGATTGGCCCCGCCTTTGGAAAATGAGCACCAATCATGTTAGGCAGTCCGAATGACCGAAGTAACAATCATATACTCATCATTTCAAACTGTACATTGGATAATTTTTGATCAATGATTATTTTAAATAAATGAAAGTAAATTTGGATGGATGTTTTTGTATCACATACAATGATAGAAGAGCAATAGTTTGTATCGCTTAGCTCGATTTGTTTACATTTGTTACATTGGTCTATTTGAAAAGTGATGCGAGCATTCACAAACTTGCCACCCGCCACCCAAAAAAGCTCGCTGGTAGTGATATCGACATGCTGACAATGACAATGCATTAGGTATTAGCGAAAACATCATATCAAGAAGACTGGCAACTTTGCCAGAATCCAAGCGACAGATACAATACCCGAGCAAAGTTGGTTAACAAAATGAAAGCAAATCGATATTAAAGTTTGCAGTTCCTATCATAATGAAAACTCATTTTGATTTCAATTGTCGCGACAGAAGTCTGATATCATATTGTGCGTTCATTATGCAGTCAATACTTTTTAAACTTAACAACTTAACTTGAAGTTCTGCTGTTAATTTCTTGTTTAAAATTTGTAAGTTCATCTGTCGTTGAACTAACGATTTTTGTTTATTTGTTTTGTTTAACACATTTTAGGTAATTCGTGACTAGCCCGAGGTGACATTTGAACTCAAATCGTTCAGCGTGAGAAGCATGGATGCTAACCATTTACGACAGGCCCGTATTCAGTCAAACATTATGAATGCAAAATCAGTAATCAAATTGATTTCGTTGAGAGCAGAATTAGTTTTCCATTTGATTCAACAGTGTACAATTTTGCTTTCATTTTTGCTGTGTTAACCGTTAAGTCAACCAAAATGAGATCAAATGGAGTATTCAAAATAAGTTACATCATAACAGCAAATTCTGATTTCAATTTGATCTCTAACTTTGCTCGGGTAGCGCCACGTTTGAGCGAAGGTGGAAGCAACGCATTTTTTCCTCTGTTCTGTGTACCACTGCGACCAGTAATTTGATCTATTGTAGTAGCAAAGCATAGAAAAATGAGAAATTACACAAACGTTTCTTCTGAGGATGTAATCTTTGCTATCAAATTCGTTCGAAGCATTTACCTTTGAGCGGCAGATGACGCGATTGTACCTGTCTCATAGCGTTCGTATGAGAAAATGGAAGAGTTGTCAGTCTTCTTGATTTGTTGTCTTCGATATTAGTCAGACCATCCGAACTGAATTTAATCCATTTTGAAGCAAACCAAGGTCGACGATTTAATTGAGCCACACTATAAAATGGTGTATTCATGGTCACTTGTGGTCTGGAGTAAAGAAGTACAGCTATAATGTGACCATAAAATCTATACAAATCTGAACGCATTTTTTTTTTAATTATTTACACCTGTGTCGTGCACAGGTTGCACATGTGGACGCGACGCCACTGAGTGGGAGTGGGATTATTTTACTACGAAAACTATATGCATGAACTAATCTGTTTTTTCATCATTCTAGAGTGCAAGTAACCTTTATTTGGAAACAAATCAAATATTGCAAAGTTTTCAACAAACTAAAGGTGTGCTAGGAGGAACTATCCTATATCACAATAAGTATGATGATCATGTGTTGTGGAAATGGTATTACATAACTAATTTTTTTTTTCTTTTTGTTTGTGACAGAGTTGTTGCTAGCCAATTATCAGATAACCTTACGAAAATATTCACTTTATCGGATTTGTATCGACTCAAGTCGTCGGAATACATCGCAGCAAACTACCATATACCGATTGGGGTAACCCTCATAAATGCATACATACCAGTGAATGAATATGTAGAGCTTGTTCGATCGTCATCGCAATCGCATAATTTGTTCATCAATTCCACTGCAAAGGACATAATTCCATTCCAAGTACGCAAGAAATCTTTTTCGAAAGATGCACATTCCTTGATAAAACGGGATAAATCTTTAATTTTTACACATATTCCGGAAGAAGACCTAGACGATGGAGCTGGAGCGATAAAGCCAAGTCACAAAAGAAAGCCAACCTTCAGTAGGCCAACGCATTTACCTTTGTTGTTCAAAAACCCAGCATCTCTAGACATAACGGAATCTGGGTTTAATTCCATTAATTTTGATGAAACTGATAGCTTTCCAAATTTTATTGGTAAAACCAGCGTTTGTTCAACCCCTATGGCAGAAAATAAAGTATTACCCCACGGTAATGTGCTATCAATTTGTGCGGCGAGTGAAGAAACTAACATAGAAGATCAATCAGATGATCAACAAGAAGATAAACGGGAAAAATCACATTCGGCATGCGAAGAGAAAGCCACCCAGAAACTGCTTAGTGAAATACCGGAACAGGTTGATAATAACTGCTTCATCAACTTTATTAGCAATCCACACAAAACTATTCATGTTAGATCTTCTATGTCTAATATCAGTAAGTTTGATAGTTCAACGGAAACTGATGATAGCCATAATCCATACGAGATTAATTCCGAAGAAAAAGTAATATTGAAGATGAAAAAATTCAGAAACAGGGATTTTTGTAGAACCATTGCTGATCCTGCTTACCCCATCTTTAATAGCGATGGTTGCGCCATATCGTACAGTCTTTTTAAAGAGTTCCTGGACCAACATTATAATGATATGAAAAAAAATTCCGCTATTGAAGGTGATACACAACCTAAGGTGGAAAACTACATAGTTCCGGAAACAAACGAAAGGACAGCTAATGTAATAGGCTCGCTCATCCGTATCGATTCTACAAAAAATCGACATGATCTAAACTTGCCTCTCAAAGCGCTGGACCTTAAGGGAACAGAACCAACCCAAGCATGTAAAATGTTCGATTCTCCAATTCGTCGCAAAAAGCTATCGGGTTTACAACTTACCCCTCTGATGTCTAAGCTGACTATATTGGCTATGAATGATCAACAATCGAGTGGATTTTCAAGCTGGGATACAACACCTGGATGTAATTTCAATAACCCTATGACACCTTTGGAATATCAACCGAAGCGTAGGAAATCGAAGATATTTTCTACTGGTGGATCGGCGAGTGACGGAGAGTGTTTAACGGATTGTGAAACGAGTAAATCGGTAAAAGTTGAACTGTTCATATGTGTCCAACAGAACATGACATTGGTGTTAGTATTGCAAGAAAAAAGCAGCGAAATGGAGGTCATGATACATTCATTGGTAAGTATGTATTATAACGGCGCCGGTGGTGTAGTGGTAAGCGTGATTACCTCTCACCCCAGCAGGCCTGGGTTCAATCCCAGTCGGCGCCGCCGGGATGTTCTGAGGCATAACATCTCTGATCACGCCTTCCTTCGGATGGGAAGTAAAGCCGTTGGTCCCCGGTTCATGAGTTGATGGGTCCATAGGTAGGGTCCAGGTGTGGGAGCTGCCTTCCTGGCACGTCGGTAGCATTGGTGCTCAGCACGGAAAACAAGATCGACGGAAAAAACAAATCAAAGGAAAAAAAAGTATGTATTAGTTTATTCGTCTGTAGTAGGGCAAGGTTGCAAATACTAATTTCGCATTAAAAAATCTTTATCGTAACCATTTTGGAAAACGCCACACGTGACATTCGATTTTACTCTCGTTTTGTACGTTAAACACAACGTCGGACATTATAGCGCATCATTGTGCGAATATAGCGCACTACTTTAATACCTTGTACAGACATACAAAGTTCACTGTTGTACTACCGTTGTACCATAGAGGTAACTCTAAGACTAGAAGGTCCCGAAGAAACGTGCTCAACTTTTTGGCTCAGCTCTGGTACTATCTTCGGTCCCTAGCTAATCGATTCACCCCTCGAAACATAGGAAAATCCACTAACCCCTCATTTTATCTGTCGAACTTTCATAGCGAATCAAAACAAACATTGTGTAGTACTAGAATTTCGACTAGAATGGGGTACGTTAATCGTTTGCTTGGGACCAGTAGGCTAGTCAAGTAGTGAGCCAATTTAAAATCGTAAGTTTCGTATTGATTGTTGGTTGTACCAACAATCAATACGAAACTAACGATTTTAAATTGGCTCACTACTTGACTAGCCTATTTGTCCCAAGCAAACGATTAACGAACCCCATTCTAGTCAAAATTCTAGAACTACGCAATGTTTGTTTTGATTCGCTATGAAAGTTTGACAGATAAAATGAGGGGTTATTGGTTTTTCCTATGTTTCGAGGGGTGAATCGATTAGCTTAGGACCGAAGAGAGTACCAGGGCTGAGCCAAAAAGTTGAGCACGTTATTTCGGGACCTTCTAGTCAGAGTTGAGCCAAAAAGTTGAGCTCGTTTATTCGGGACCTTCTGGTCTTAGAGTTACCTCTATGGTACAACCAACAATCAATACGAAACTAACGATTTTAAATTGGCTCACTAATAGACTAGCCTATTGGTCCCAAGCAAACGATTAACGAACCCCATTCTAGTCAAAATTCTAGTACTACACTATGTTTGTTTTGATTCGCTATGAAAGTTTGACAGATAAAATGAGGGGTTATTGGTTTTTCCTATGTTTCGAGGGGTGAATCGATTAGCTTAGGACCGAAGAGAGTACCAGAGCTGAGCCAAAAAGTTGAGCACGTTATTTCGGGACCTTCTAGTCTTAGAGTTACCTCTATGGTTGTACCAACAATCAATACAAAACTAACGATTTTAAATTGGCTCGCTACTTGACTAGCCTATTGGTCCCAAGCAAACGATTAACCTACCCCATTTTAGTCGAAATTATAGTACTACGCAATGTTTGTTTTGATTCGCTATGAAAGTTTGACAGATAAAATGAGGGGTTATTGGTGTTTCCAATGTTTCGAGGGGTGAATCGATTAGCTTGGAACCGAAGAGAGTACCAGAGCTGAGCCAAAAAGTTGAGCACGTTTCTTGGGTACCTTCTAGTCTTAGAGTTACCTCTATGGTTGTACCAACCGGTGGAAACTAACGATTTTAAATTGACTCACTACTTGACTAGCCTATTGATCCCAAGCAAATCGATTAACGTACCCCATTCTAGTCGACATTCTAGTACTACACCATGTTTGTTTTGATTCGCTATGAAAGTTTGACAGATAAAATTAGGGGTTCGTGGATTTTCCTATGTTTCGAGGGGTGCATCGATTAGCTTGGGACCGAAGCGAGTACCAGAGCTGAGCCAAAAAGTTGAGCACGTTTCTTCGGGAGCTTCTGGTCTTAGAGTTACCTCTATGGTTGTACCATAGCTAGTCGAATCACCCCTCGAAACATAGGAAAATCCAATAACCCCTCATTTTATCTGTCAAACTTTCATAGCGAATCAAAACAAACATAGTGTGGTACTAGAATTTTGACTGGAATGGGGTACGTTAAACGATTTGCTTGGGACCAATAGGCTAGTCTATTAGTGAGCCAATTTAAAATCGTTAGTTTCGTATTGATTGTTGGTTGTACCATAGAGGTAACTCTAAGACCAGAAGGTCCCGAATAAACGAGCTCAACTTTTTGGCTCAGCTCTGGTACTATCTTCGGTCCCAAGCTAATCGATGCACCCCTCGAAACATAGGAAAATCCACGAACCCCTCATTTCATCTATCAAACTTTCATAGCGAATCAAAACAAACATTGCGCAGTACTAGAATTTCGACTAGAATGGGGTACGTTAATCGTTTGCTTGGGACCAATAGGCTAGTCAAGTAGTGAGCCAATTTAAAATCGTTAGTTTCGTATTGATTGTTGGTTGTACTGCTTTAAGCTAGTACCACAAATTGTACTTTTTGAGGTACTAGATTAAAGGAGTACAATGGTACTAATTTGTATGTCTGTCGGTGGTATAAGTCTGATATTTGACGTTAAGCATCTACAACTATGTAAATCGTTAGCTTCACGCATGAAGTAATAGAGCAATTCCCTACGAATTCGCAAATCGGTTTATTTTTGTATTTTTTGATTTGGTTGAAAATTTGCGGGAACGTTCCTTATGACCGACAATGCCATTTTGTTAGCTATGAAGTAGAAGAGTAAATAAAACACGTCTTTACTGGTCAAGACAACAAACTCAAGTGAGGTTTTTATTCATCCGCTTGCACGGCAATGAATGGTTGTTCAGTTGCTTTTACACTGACTGAATGAACGCGCGATGCTCAATGGCGCAGTGCTGCCATCACTCCTCCTCATCGCGCATAGATTGAAGATCAATCCTCTCGCGTATATCAATAAGTTACACTTATGTTCTGTTTCTCCGCCAAATCCCGCACAAAATGAAATTTGGTATCCACGTGCTTTGAACGTTTCAGTCCTGCGTTCTGGTCCAACATTTTTATGCAGCTTTGGTTGTCTTCGAAGATTTGCACCGGTTTCTGCACAGGTTCCCCGAAGTCCTTCATTAGCTTTTCCAGCCAAAGCAACTCCTGACAGCTTTCAGCCAACGAGATATACTCCGCTTCAGTCGATGAAAGTGCCACACATGCTTGCTTTCTAGCACACCATGAAATCGAACCACCAGCCAATCGGAATAGATAGCCCGAATTCGACTACCGGTCTTTCACATTTCTGGCCCAATCGGCGTCTGCATACCCTTGAAGTTTTTCATCACTGGAACCCAGTCTCAGCTTCAAATCACTTGTAGCTTTCAGGTATCGCAACACCCTTTTTGCTTCCGTCCAATCCGCATTCGTTGGTTTGCTCACCTGCCTTCCAAGAATCGATGTACTGATTGCAATATCCGGCCGAGTATTCACCGATAGATACAGCAAACCTCCGCCGAAACTCTGAAACTTCTCATTGTTCGGAAGCCTCTCATTCTCCTCCTTTTGCTGTAAATATCCGACGTCCATTGGAATCTGTGATCCCTTAGCTTCCGCAAGTCCAAACTACGCAACCAACTTGTCGATTTTTGGTCCAAGCAGTAGGCGTTGACATGCTTTGTCACTCTTATACCCAAAAAATACTGCACGTCACCAAGTTTTGTGATCTGGAACTTGTTCTCCAAGGCTTTCACAACTCCATCGTATTCTTCGTTGTTGGATGTAACATAGCATCCACGTACACCAGGATGTACACTGTGTTGCCGTTCCTCTTCCGTACGTACAGACACGGGTCAGCGTCCGCCTGTTTGAATCCAAGTCGCTTCAGAACATCATTCAGCTTTTGGTTCCAAACTCTTGCTGATTGCCTCAACCCATATAGACTCTTACGCAACCGACAAGCAGTGTTACTTCCAACGCGCAGTCCGGGTGGTACTCGCATGTAAATAGTCTCCTCCAGATCACCATTCAAATATGCAGTCTTTACGTCAAAGTGCCTAACCTGCATTGCGTCACGTCCAGCGACGGTTAGAAGTGTACGAAGCGTCACCTGCTTTGCGACCGGAGCAAAAACTTCGTTGTAGTCAAGACCATACCTCTGAGTAAAACCCTGTGCAACTAACCTTGCTTTATACCGTATGATTTCACCTTGCTCATCCTGTTTCTTCTTGTAGATCCAACGGCATCCGATTACCTTGCTTCCTGGTGGCAATGTTGTCAACTCCCAGGCTCCATTCTCGCTCAGAGACTTCAGCTCATCATCGATGGCAGCCTTCCAACGGTCACATTCAAGACCATTTACTGCCTCTTGATAGCTGCGAGGTTCTTCCTGCCGACACTGAACCATCTTGCCATCTGCCAAGTAACGCTCAGGTGGAACACCTTTGGTTAACCTTCCAGAACGACAAGGTGTTTCTACGAATTGCTCCTCGTGAAAGCGAGTCGACTCCTCCTGGACAGAGATAGATTCATCATCCTGGCGGAACACTTCACTACTATTAGCATCTTCGTAGAGACTCCGATCTTCAAGGCCACGCATCGTTTCTTCGCAAGATTCGTCTTCAAAGCCACGTAAAACTTCGTCACTGTCTACATCCGATTCTTCACCAGACACTTCGGATTCAGTATCGGAATAATCCGACTCTTCCAGTTCCTCACCGCTATTCGGCCTTACTGGCAACGGGGGTAACTGAAGCAATTCGTCCTCGATGACTTCCTGGACATCCTCATTCGACTTCAAAAAACGAGCGTCTCGACTGAAAACAATTTTGGGAGTCTTCAAGTCAATAAAACGCCACGCTTTATGCTGCTGGGAGTATCCAACGAAAGTCATTTTCGTTGCCTTCGGCTGCAACTTCGTTCGCTTCTCCTTCGGGATAAAAACGTACGCCTCTGTGCCGAACACCTG